GAGAGAGAGAGAGAGAGAGAGAGAGAGAGAGAGAGAGAGAGAGAGATTTGGATTAAAAAGGAAAGAAGCTGCAGCAGTGGTATGGTATTCTGTATTAACAGTGGCTAAAGTGTCTATGGCGATATATTTATTTAACACTGAATCAAAAATTCATAAAGCTTTTTGGAAAGGGACAAAACCCAGAAACACATGCATTCCTTAGCCTAATCGTTATTCCAGTTCCCTTGATGTTGGAGTCAAATGAATCACGAACAGAAAAAACATCCTTGTAAGTATAGAAAATGGATAGGGTGGTTCCTTAAAGAGAGTTTGTGGTTTTTCTTAAATACTTCTGATACATTGGTTTTTTAAAATAATCTTGGGTATGACAGATGCATGGATAAAATAGCTCCTGAAAAAAACCTTGTAATGTTTGATTTTTTTATTGTTGCTGTTGTTAAAAAGAGTGCACCTGCAGAGCTTTTCTCCAAATTCCTTCACAGAGATTAAAGCAGTGGCTGCCTCAATTTGTTTAGGTCACATCCCATGACAATTTCTTGAGACATGCAGCAGCATATAGGTTCAATACCAGGTAGCATAATATTATCCTTCAGAAAGCTGTACCAAAAAATATAATAATGTGATTTGCAGAACTTTCCCGCCAAATCTTGGCCTATTTATAGCATGTTTATCCAGTGGGGAATTTTTATGGCTAAAAGACACAATACTTATCTGTTATAATCAAAGATGGCAAGCATTGATGTCTTTTTGGCTAATCCAATATAGATGATAGACAATTATTTTTCTTTCATTGTAGCAATCCTGAATATACTGAGATATTATGTCTATTAAACAAGTGTGACTTTTTATGATCAGATTAAGCACTAATCACCACAGTAATACCTTTCCAAAGAAACACCTTTCCAAAATGATTCCCTATTAAATTATATTGCATTACATTACATTGATTTTATTAAATTATATTGCCTATTAAGTTATAGTGAATGATCTGTAAATGGGATCATTTCTCCTTGAAGACTAAAGCTTAAACTCAGGTCAACACTATTGCACAATTTTCTGAGGCACTGAATGATGGTTCTAAAATTAAATGCAGAATTTTTTTGGAAGCAGTGTACTGTTCTCCTGTCTTCCTGTTGTTATTTAATTTAAAAAAAAGCTAGGAAAAAAAATCCTTCCAGACATAATTTTCTATGGTCTTTTGTGAGGCAATGCTCATATTTCAAACTTTGATTTATTTTAAAGCTAATCTTCTTTATGGTAGCTTTTAAGCATAAAAATAGAATGCCCACATCACTGTAGCTTTTCCCGAATATAAAAAGCACTGAATCTACACCATGAACCTCTTCCAACAGCATTCGCACTAAAAGATTATAGGTTCAGACTTCAGGTCAGCCAAGTCATTCACAGAAGCAAAGCACTAAGTGCAAAGTTTATGTAAGAGCGATAGGAAAAGAGGTGCCTTCCATCTGTTTCACATTATAGTTTTTGTAAGGTTTACTCAGCATGGCAATTGAAAAATACTGGGAAGTACTAGATGGCTAAACCTACATCTTGCACATGGATGCTACTTAAATATTTCAAAGTGAGAGGGAATCACATTTGTCTGAAGTATATGCTGTGGCTTGCACTTCCTGCAACAGTTTCTAACACAGCAAGAACTCAGCAAAAGGAAATATAGTATTGGATTGCTTTTTTACAACAGTAAATAATCCTTGCAGACAAAGAATTCTTCCTACCTCATCAGCTTAAAAGGATTTTCAGATAGGTATTAAATCTAGAGTGGCGCCAACTTACTTATGACCTTCCCTTGGTTCCTTCCTTACCTACTTGACATTTTACTTTTAAAAAGGTCATTCTATTTTTAAAAGGGGAAGCTTATAATCAGCAAAGCAAAGGGCCAAACTTTAGAAGCAGAAATTTAAAGAATACCTTCGGGACTCAAATGTTAGAAAATAAAAATGAATGGCAGCTGCAGCCCAGGGTTTGTTGGCATTACATCCACCTTCCCATGAAAAGCATGAAAGGAAGAAAAAAAATCAGAAATAATAAGAAGCATCCTGCGAGATGGGATGGCAGGAACTATTTTGTTAACTGTTGCTTGTATCGGGCCATATTTGTCATGACAGCCATTTGTGAAAGATCAAATCTTCTCAGTTCTTTGAAAGAAAACAATAAATATTAGAAAAGGTAAGTATCAAGAAGGCATATTGCATGCTGTTAGAAACAAAAAACAGGAGATTCTCTTTCAAAGCTCCGCAAACATACTGCCATTGTTCAGGAGCAGAATGAATAAACAATACGTTTTAGAGCATATCCAATGTCCTGTGGTTAGCACTGCACAAATAATGTAGTAAACTTGTTCATCATTACTGATGTCTTCAGTGAGGAAATAAGAGGCTCTCCACAGGAGAGGAAAAAAGGAAGCTATGAAGCCACTGATGTGTTCTGTAAATTTGTATTTGCTTAAAATTAATTTAACTGTTGTGAATTTCTAGTTTGGTAAAGTTAGAAAATCCTAGTCTTGTTTATAGGTTTAGAGTTTTGAAGTTCTCTAAGGAGTAGTGGTACCTATTACAGTAATTTAAGTTTCTGATGTAGACTTTCTCTCTAGCATTGTTCTTTCCCTGGTGAACAGACCATGTTAGTAACATCATAGAATCTTTTTCAGAAAACTGGTAATAAAAATCCATCAAAACGTTTGAGAATAGGTTGTTACACGGAAGACATACTTATGGCATATTCTGTATTGTTAAACCTGATTTTAAATGTTCACTCCAGTTTTGAAGATTTCTGCCCTGAATTATCTAAAATGAAATCACAAGTAATTATGATTATTCAAAAAAATCATAGAATATTAGAGTTGGAAATCATAGGTTATCTAGTTTACCCTACGTTCAATGAACAAGTCAACTAAGCTATATATGACCACCATCCAACCCACATTTGAAGACCTCCTGCAGGGAGTCTACCATAGCTGTGGACAGACTATTCCACAGTTCAACAGCTTTTACCGCTTGGAAACTTCCTTTCTTTTATATTCATTTGTTCTTGCCCACTCTCAGTTTCAATACATGTATATTCGTACATTTTGTGTAACAGCTTTTTACATATTTGTTGACTACTGTCATAGAATAGAATTTTTTATTGGCCAAATGTGATTGGACACACAAGGAATTTGTCTTTGGTGCAGAAGTTCTCAGTGTGCATAAAAATATATATTCATCAAGAATCATAAGATACAACATATAGTTATAGTCATAGGATACTAAGACTATCTGTTATGTTATGGCTGTTATAACTATCATGTCCACAAAGCCTTTTCTTTTGTATACCAGATGTCCATGGTTCTTGAAGCCTTCCACATTAGTATGCAGATTTCTTATGCAGACATCTTAACAGCCTGGAAGATCATCCCTGAACCTTCTTCAGGATCTATAAGTCCATTTCAAAGTCTAGTGCTCAGAACTTAACATTGTATACATTGTTTGGGGTAATTAATTCAGATTACCAAAGAACAAGTATCTCTCATGATACCGAAACAATGCTTTTAATGCAGACCACAAGTGAATTTGCTTGCTTGCTCATTGTCAGCAGGTGCTTCGCTACTTTTCCTATATCCTTTTCACATAAAATTCCTCTAATCTTAGACATTAAATCTGCAGGACTTCACATTTATCTTAACTGAACATCTTGCTAGAATTGATCCAATGTTCAGATCAGTCTTTGATTAGAAACAATTCACTAATGTTACAAGCATTCAATTCATTTCATATTCTTTATAAAAATCCTGAATAATGCTGGATCAAAATTTTGATATTCAAGGGCATTTGACATCTTCACACACACAGCCACTCTGTCTGTCTGTCTAGAGATCATTTTAACAAGTAAAATTTGGGGTGCATTGCAGTTGGACCAACTGGATATGCTACACTTGAATGTATGCATTATAGCAGCTTCAGGGAAGGAAGGTCCTGTGAAAATCAGGGAGCAGGGTTATTCATGTTATGATAATTCAATATTATTCAGAATCAACAAGATAGGGAAGACAAGCAAGAATTGGCTTTTGGAATTTTTTTCTAACAGCAATAGTGGTAGATAGTGGTAGAAAATATCTATAATTACTGCAGTGTAACGAAGTAGCATGCATACTTTTCCCTCAGGTAGCATCTAAGTGTATGTGAATCTGTGTATAACAGGAAGCACAAAATGGCATTATAGGCTCAGCTCGAGTACACATGGTCGGAAAATTTATCTTAGAATTGGGATAAGCACATTTTGAGCTTCTGCTCAATTGCCTCTCCCATAAGGGTAATACTTTTTAATCCATAGCCCTGATAAGATCTGGCCCATTTTTTCAAACTCATTTTTTCTTTCTCCAAGCTTCTTCCATCATATCAAATTCGACATCAGTCTGTTCAATCTTCATATTTACCCTCCCTACTTTTGGACTGTTAATCCCAAGTCCTTTAACACATTTTTCAACATTTGGTTGACTTGGAAAAACGAGACTCGTATTCACAGTACTCTTAGGATTTTCTGAATTTTTAATTCACTTATGGTCCAGGAATTAGCTTATATATTACATCAAAATGTAGCTATCCAAAGCTGGAAAGCGTATTTAAAATTTTAAATGTCCATTTTTCTTTTTAGAAATCTAAACAATTAACTACCTGAAATACCCTCAGTCATCACGCCATAGAACTTATCCACAGTCTATACATTCTTAGTAAGGCAGCTGCTTTTATATAGTTATATTAGCTTTTATTAAGTTGAACTAAAAATAAACAAAATGAACTTTTTGGATTAGCACCCAATATGTATGATGGATATTATTTTGAATTATTTGAATCCTGCTTTAAATAATATTAAGCCTGCTCTTGATTATATATTTTATCAAGTCTTCAATATATAAAGTATTTAACAAAACCACATTTCATTGTTGCTTATAATTGTACCATTGAGACACAGTTTGACAGCTTTCTTAAGGAGTGTAATCCAGTAATGAAACATTTGAAGTTCAATAGTACTGTAATTAGTTAGAAGTATTTTCTAACTTTGTCACAGAAAAGACCCTATATGACAACTGCTTTTTAAAAATTAATTACATCTGAAACTGAAACAAATATTTGATTGGTTATTACAGCAATTTATGATGCCCATTTGAACATATAGAGTGGCTCATATAAAACATTTGGATTACTTAATATTTAGGATATCTCAAATCCAACTTCTACATTAGAAGTTTTCATACAGTCTTGGAAAGGCTAAAGGAAATTTGAGACGACAAGGAAAACGCTTTGTCTATTACACTTACAATGGAATGGTAACAGCCTTTATATAGATAGATAGATAGATAGATAGATAGATAGATAGATAGATAGATAGATAGATAGATAGATAGATA